AAAGAGTGTGCTTACTGCCTAACCATCAACACTACCATCTGTGCTGGATATTGTATGACACGGGTATGTAGTTCATTTCACTTCTTTTAGCTGAAAATTAGATAAACCTAGACTCAATCCATTTCTATCCAGAGAGAAAATGAGATAAAACACAACCTCATTTCCAAAATCTAATGGTTATTGGCCCTGTAGAGGTAGAGTACACAGGTTACAGTATCTACTCAGCACAGTGGATACAGATAATTTATAACAGTTTTACTTCCAAAATTTATTTAAAACTTATCTTGTTCTCATGATATAAGGTAAAAGAGGGGATGTCACTTTTGTCTCTATGGGATATGTGGATATGTTGAGTTAGTACCGGGGAATGGAACTAAGGAATCCTCCTCCAGTCCTGTTTGTGACAAAGGAATATAAGTGAATTGATTTTTATCTGTTTCCATTATCTATATATTTTCTAAAGTCCTATCACAGTATGCTCCTTTTTTAATTCTTTCCTCAGGACTTCAATGGCAAGCTGTTTCTTCCCAAATATGCTCTGTCCCAGGATGTTTGTACATATAGAGACTTCATGTACAAGACTGTAGAAATACCAGGATGCCCACGCCATGTTACTCCTTATTTCTCCTACCCTGTAGCTATAAGCTGTAAGTGTGGCAAGTGTAATACTGACTATAGTGATTGTATACATGAAGCCATCAAAACAAACTACTGTACCAAACCTCAGAAGTCCTATGTGGTGGGATTTTCTATCTAGCTTCAATTGCGATGTAATTTGCAATTTGGTTAAATGTGTTTACCTGGAATAAAACTAATAAAATATCGAAATATTTCACAACACCATGTGTACATTTGAGTACTATTTCATCCATACCCATACCCATTCATGCATTAGCAAGCTTAAGGGCTTTAGAAGAAAAGGTGAGTGAAAGAGCATTTCCAGCTCATATGAAGGATGGTTTCCACATGAAAGGGCAGAGTGCAGGTAAAATGGAGAACAGGAACATGAAATACTAATGAAAGACAGCGTTAATCAGGCTCTCTTAACAGAGGGCCACGAGGTTTGTCTTGACATAGAAAATGAATATGGGAAAGCTACAGAGTAATGTGATCAACGGCTGAAGGAACAAATGGTGTCAGTGTACTGGAGACACCTACTTCCAAAGGCTGAAACGGGGCTGGAGTAGAGAGAGTAAGGAATATATGAAATTTGCAATATACTACTTTATCCTGTCATTCAAATACACAAGATAAAACTTCACCAAAACTCAGTGAACAGTATATTTTAATCTACTTAATTTAATTACTCCGGTGGGCCTACTGACTTATGAAAGTTATACTCCAAAAGCCTAGAAAAGAGGCCACGATCATTTTACATGTAGAAGTCTAAATCCTTTGTAGTCTTTAAGGTAATTTGAGACACTTTCCAGCAACTTATGCTGTTTTGGCTTTCGATGTCATGAAAAACTAGTATGATTATGAAAGATTTTAGGAATAGTGGTAGAGTGCTAAGGGATCTAGCAGAGAGGAATCATCCTAAATTCTAACCTAAACCTTCAATAGTTAAACACTGTTTTCTAGTAAATGTGCTTAGAGAGTGGTTTATTTTTCTCTTCCTTCCTTAGGTACTCTTTCATGAGAGTTTGGTTTCAATAGCTGCGTGAAGTGAGACAGACCTAGTGCCCTGCAGGCTTGACCTCATAAAAGATGACTTATCCTATATTTTTCCATTTCTCTCCAACCAAATTGCTGCCATTGGGTGAAAATCAATTGTCAGCAGGGCCGGTTGTCTTTGTTATATCCTAGTCATTGGTTGCATTCATCTGGGCATGTTGTAAATGCCTGCAGTCTGACAGTGTCCAAGGGGGGATGCTAAGGTGGTGTAGATGGATTAGTACCAAACCCATGCTCTGCCAATGGGGACAGAATAGTTGTACATTTATATGCAAAGTCATGAATCCACATTATTCTTACCTTAACATCTGAAGTCAATGTTATCATGATCTCCAAATATTAATCTGGGGTTTTGGGTTCTCATATCACTTGACAATATGGACACTTAAAGCTGTAGGATTAAAACATTCCTTCTGAAAACTGTATATCAAATATAGATTTTTGATTAATCAAACCTAACTGGCACTAATCACACATGACTTGCACAGAATCTGAAAAATGTTTTCCAAGGACTTGAGCTGTGGAAAGGCTATGGGGTTCAGTGAGGCCCCTTATAAACAGTCCAGCTCAGAAGACATTCATTAAATGGGCTTCCTCAACATTCAGGGAGGAGGCTAGGCCTGGACATGGGTGTGGTGGCCTGTATCAGCATGGAGCCCTAGAGTGGGTGCATTAGAGACAACTTGTTTCTTTCCACTGAAGGCAGTCCTTTTGGATTAGATGCATATATAAATTATATTAAACTACTTTTGAAAATGGAGTTGTCCAAGGCAAAGAATCCTTAGAAAAGAGCTTAGGAATTGGCATGACCAAAAATTTACCTCAGCTAGATCCAGAAACTTGGGTATATAGAAATGCTATTTTGGAATGTATTAGTATTCTTTGGGTTTAGAAGTGGGAGAATGAATAGAGAACTTAGAGATGGGGAAGTGAAGAATTATTGCTTGTGTGAGAAGAGAAAGATGGAAATTTTGGAACATCTTCTGAACTGGTCTTTAATTCAACCTGAAGTTTAATAAGTCAGTTTTTGGCAGAGGAAGTTTGAGATTCAGTTCTTTAAAAAGAGTCCCTCTTGTTTCTCATTTGACTTTGAAATATAAAGAGTTCTTTCATAACTAAATGGATGCTGTTAGTAATAGAAGTTCTCTTTTAGAGGGAATGTACCTCAACATAATAAAGGCCATATATGCAAGCCCACAGCTAACATCATACCGATGAAAACGTTTTCTTTAAGAAGAGGAACAAGACAAGAATATCCACTCTTACCAATATATTGGAAGTCTTAGCCAGAGCAAGTAGACAAGAAAAAGATAAAAGACATCCAAATTGGAAATGAAAATGTAAAATGGTCACTACTGCATGATACTATTTATAGAAAACCCTAAAGACTCCATCAAAAAACTGTGAGAACTAATTGCAGGATACAAAATCATGTACAGAAATCGATTGCATTTATATATACTAGTAATAAACTAACAGAGACATTAACAAAACTATCCTATTTACAATTACATCAAAAATAGATAGGAGGTAAAACACCTGTACACTGAAAACTATAAGACACTAATGAAGAACATGAAGAAGACACAAATAAGTGGGAAGATAGTCTGTGCTCATGGATTGGAAGAATTAATATTGTTAAAATAAATGTCCATACTACCCAAAGTGATCTACAGGTTCAATTCAATCTTTATCAAAATTCCAATGCCATTTTTTACAGAACTAGAACAAACAATTCTAAAATTTGTACAGAACCACAAAAGACCTCAAATAGCCAAAGCAATCCTGAGAAAGAAGCACAAATCTGGAGCATCATCCGTCCTGATTTCAAACTATATTACAAAGCTATAGTAATCAAAATAGTATGGTATTGGCATTAAAAAAAGGCACTAAATCAATTGAACAGGATAGAGAGCTCAGAATAAAACCATGCATATATGGTCAATTAATATAAAACAAAAGAGCCAAGACTCTACAATGGGGAAAGGACAGTGTCTTCAATAAATGGTGTTGAGAAAACTGGACGTCTACATGCAAAAGAATGAAACTGGACTGCTTTCTCACACCATATACAAAAATCACCTCAAAATGGATTAAAGACTTAAACGTAAGACCTGAAACCATAAGACTCCTAGAAGAAAATGTAGGCAGTATGCTCTTTGACACTGGTATTAGCAATATTTTTTTTCAATCTGTTTCCTCAGACAATGGAAACAAAAGCAAAAATAAATAAACACCAAACTAAAAAGCTTCTGCACAGCAAAAGAAACTATCAACAAACTAAAAAGGCAACCTACTAAATGGGAGAAGGTATTTGAAAACAATATATCCCATAAGGGGTTAATATCCCAAGTATACAAAGACTCATGTAACTCGACATCGAAAAAAAAAAAAAAAATGAACAGCCTGATTTAAAAAATGGGCAGAGGACCTGAATAGACATTTTTTCCAAAGAATACATGCAGACAGCCAACAGATACATGAAAAGATGTACAATATCACTAATCTTCAGGGAAATGCAAATAAAAACCACAGTGAGATATCATCTTACACCTGTTAGAATAGCTATTATGAAAAAGACAACAAATAACAAGGAGAAAAAGGAACACTTGTACACTGTTGGTGGGGTTATAAATTGGTGGAGCCATTATGGAAAACTGTATGGAGTTTCCTTAAAAAAAAAAAGGAAAATAGAGCTACCATATGATCCAGCAATTCCACATCTGGATATTTATCTGAAGAAAATGAAAATATTAACTGGAAAAGATATATGCACCCCTACGTTCATTGCAGCACTATTTACAATAGCCAAGATTTGTAAACAACCTAGGTGTCCATTGATGGATGAATGGTTAATGATGTGGTAGATATATATAATGGACTACTGCTCAGCAGACAAAAAGGAAATCTTGCCATTTTCGGCAACATGGATGGACGCCGAGTGTATTATAAGTGAAAAAGTCAGATGGAAAAAGACTGCCAATCATTGCTGTTTGATTTCACTTATATGTGGAAAGAAAACCCCCAAAAAGCCCATAGAAAAAGATAACAGGTAGGTGCTTGCCGGAGGTGAAGGGTGGGGAGGTAGGTGAAATGGATGAAGGGAGTCAAAAGGAAAAAACTTCCAGTTATAAAATAAATAAGTCATGGCGAGGCACAGCATGGCGACTGTAGTTAACAATACCGTGTTGCATAGTTGAAAGTTGCTAAGAGAGTAAATCTTAAAAGTTCTCATCAGAAGAAAAAAATTATGTAACTATGTGTGATGACAGATGTTACCTGGACTTATTGTGGTGATTATTTTGAAATATTTACAAGTACTGAATCATTATTTTGTACACCTGAAAGTAATATAATGTATGTCAATTATACCTCAATTTTTAAAAAGTTGTTTTTTATATAAGAAATTACCTCTCCCCCCTTTATTGAGCAGCAAGTCTGAGTTTAAGTGCCATAAAAATTCTTATATCATGGTATCTTCCACTCTAGTTCTAATGTTCAGTGTTGGGCTCTTCCTTACCCTCTCATTTCTTTTGACCAATTCTTATTTATCTTTTAACACCACTCTGTCTCACTTTCTCTTCTTCTATTACCCTCCTTTCACCTACCATTTTTGCCTGGCTAACATCCATGTCCCTTCTTTTGGTAGCTGCACCTTGATTTTCCTTTGGGGGCTCTCCCCCCATCCTTTTCCAAGTCAAATGGTTTGAGTGGAGCTGATGGAGGTAGGCATGCTACTTAAACTCAACCAAGCCTGATGGATTAAGGGGTGGACATATGACCTAATCTCTTCCAGTAGGAGTCAGTCTCAGGGCTTTAACTGTAACTGTTGGACAAAGAGGAGTGCTTGGCCTGTTGGGGTTTCTAGGCTGCTAGAATGTGAACCTAGAGCCACTGCTAGCCATCCTTAGCATCTCCTAAAAACAGCCAGCCTGAGAATAAAGCCAACCCAGAGAAGAACAAGAGAGTGAGGAAAGGGAGAGCTTCTGATATCAGTAGGTCTAATCTGAAGCCAGCTTCAACCCTTAAAGAAGTCATAACTTTCCTGTTCTGCTTAAGCTAGAGTTGGGTTTCTGATACTGT